TATCTATCTATCTATCTATCTATCTATCTATCTATCTATCTATCTATCTATCTATCTAGCACTTATTATCTGCAAGGTGCTGTGCTAGGCATTGGGGATACAGAGACGACAACAATAACAAATAGGAAAATAGCTCTGACTTTAGGGAGCTCACTTTCGACATTGATGAAACAAGCATTGGAAGTCTAAACAAAGGAGGTGTTGGAGACCGTGACATGATGAACGCTGCGCTGACAGATCTGGAGCCAGGAAGAACGTTGGAGGTCATCTGGTCCAACTCTGCTGTTTTATAGATAAGGAAATTCAGAGATAAAGTAACTTGAGTGACTTGGTCACGGGGCGGTAGCAGCAGGGCCGGGACCCAGACCTAGATCGCTGACTGGCTGAATTTCAATATTGGGAGCTCTTCAACAGCACAAGTGGGCTTCTGTACGACGAGTGGCCGTCGGTTTTGGGCTTCGAGCCTTCTAGAGGCAGCTTCCTAAGGCAGCCAGCCCCACGTTTGGACAGCTCCATTTGTCAGGGAATCTTTCCTGCCTTCCAGCCCGGACTGACCTTTTTGTAACTTCCTCCTCCTTACTCCCGCTGCTGGTGACTCTGTCCCATGGGACCAAGCAGGAGAAATCAAACATCAATCGAATATCTCCTGTATCTCGCGATTTTCCCAAGTGCTTCGATTCAATTTAATCCAGGCCAACAAGCACTTCTGAAGTGCCTGTTCTAAACCAGGGCCAGGGGATGCAAAGATCCTCCACCTTCCCGCTCCTGGATTAAATTCTGCTTGGGTGGGGGAACAGGAATGAGCTTTCCATGTTCCCCCTGAGTCAGAGGCTCCTAGATGGAGAATTTGAGAAGACATCTAGCTCAACTCCCTCATTTTACAAATGGGGAAACTGAGACCTAGAAAGAGGGATAGTGACTCACCCACTCCCATAGGCTCAAAACTCTAGAGCTAGAAGGAACTTTGGAGGCCATCTAATCTACTTCATTTAACAGGCCCAGTGAGATGAAATGACTTACCCAAGGTCACGCAAGGAGTAAGCATGAGAGAGGGGATTAGAAGCTGGGTCTCCTGACTTGAAAGCCAGAGTTGTAGCCTTAGCACCAAGGTACACAGAGACAGCAAAATGAGGCTGCGTCTTAAACTATCAGATGTGCTTAGGGACCTGGGGTAATTTTCAGCACAGAGATTCAAATGGCACTTTGGAGTATAGATGCGGATCCCACTAGATAATAATAACTGACATTGAAATGACGTTTTATTTATGATGCATTTTACAAAAGCTATCTCATTTGCACCCTGTAATAATTCTGTGGAATAGGTAGTAGAATTCTCATTTCTCCCATTTTATGGATGAGAAAACAGAGGTGAAGCGACTGGTCCAAGACAAACACAACTGAAAACCCAGAATTTGTGGCTCCAATTCCCAGGACTCCCTGTTCCATGATCTCACTCATTTCTCAGAGTTCATTTTGGACAAATAAACCTTTTTCAAGGAGACCTTCCTTAGAGATCACATTCCAATAAACATCATGCCAGTAAACATAAGTCTCTGCAGAGCCCACTGACCTGCCAAGCTGAAGGGATAATGGGTGTAACCGTAGTTTGGTAAGACGGAAGAATTTAAACCACCCCTTGGGGTTCGTTTTAATGAGATGTGACTTGCATGGAAGGCATGCAAGCTACAAAATTATCAAATGCCATCAGAAGATCCAATCCAAGAATCGCCAAATTTCAGAGTTAGAAGGGACCGCTGTGGATCTCTACTGTGATGCATCTCCCCAGAAAGATCTAGACTGTCACCCACCAAATAGTCACACACCCTTGACTTGCAGACCTGAAAGGACAGGAAACTCACTACTTCCAGAGACAGCACATTCTGTTTTCGGACAATCCTAATTGTTAGGAAGGTTTCCCCTGACACCAAACCTCAAATTGCCTTCCCGTAACTTTCACTCACTGTTCTTGGTCCTGTTCTCTGAGTCTAAGCAGAGCAAGGTAAGTATAGCCCAGTGAAATAATAATGACACAGCTTGCTAATGTATCTGTGATGACATACCTTTTCTGGGCAGCTGAGGCTGACTCTGCTTCCTGGCTTGGTTCCCGTAGTCCACCTTTGCACAGAGGAAGAGGATGGCGGCCACTGTTACAGTGCTCTGTATTTCAGGACTCCATGCCACCTTGCTCTCTCCTCAAGCTGAGCATGAACTGAAAGCTAGCTAGTGAGTCCGCACCCCCATTGATGAGTATGGCGGGGCCCAGACTTACCCCACCCTCCTCCAGACACATGTGTGCACCCGCCCTCCTCCTTGGGAGTACCGCCTGTTAGCCAGGCAATCGAATGCTAACCACACAGGAACTCGTCGGCTTGATGCTTTGGGGAGGTGGGTGTGCAGCTCAGCTTGTGTGGTTTGGTTGCTTGCTGCCAGTGCTGAACTGTAACTTGGTTCAAATGAACCCCCTGTCCCCCTTTTTCTACTGGGTTAAGTCTTTTTTTTTTTTTTTTTTTTTTTTGGTTAGGCAATGGGGTTAAGTGACTTGCCCAGGGTCACACAGCTAGTAAGTGTTATGTGTCTGAGGCTGGATTTGAACTCAGGTCCTCCTGAATCCAGGGCTGGTGCTCTTTCCACTGTGCCACCTAGCTGCCCCTGGGTTAAGTCTTTACAGAGCTTCTGAATATGAAGGTTCCTATCATCACCATGTTTATTTGAGAGATGGTCACCCAAAGCTGGGAGGAATATTCCCATGTCCAAGTGAAAAATCAGATCTCCCCCCCCTCCAAAAAAAAAAAATCTCAGTAGGACAAACTGAATAAGATGAAATTTAATTGAGACGAATGTAGAGGATAATTCCTGGGTTCAAGTGCTCAAGAAAATGAATGCTTAATATAGCAGCTGAAAACCCAATGAAAGTCTGGGCTGAGGAAGGCAAGGAGGAGGGTCTATATAGGATATAGGAGGAGACAGTCTTTCTGTCCTCTGCCCTGGTCAGAACCTACCTGATGTATTATGTTCGGGGCTGGGGGCCAGACTTTAGGAAGGATATTGTCAAGTTGAAAAATGTCTAGAGGGCAGCCGGGTTGGTGAGGGAGGCCAGAGACTGCGCCATATGGAGAACAATTGGAGATACGGGGGGCATTTGGCAGGGAGAAGAAAAGACTGCCTTGAAAAAATTAACCTACGAGAAAAGTTTTCTCCTCCCATTTACCAGACCCCACATGGCTCTTCTTAAAAAGATGGCAGGGTCCAGTGAAAAGAGCAGGAGGCAAGAGCTGTGGGTTCTTGTCACAGTTTCCCTGACAAAGATTGCAAGTTGGTGACCTGGGGTAAGTCATGACCCCTCTCTGGGTTTCCCCAGCTAATAAGGGGGGGCAGGGTCTTGAAGGATTGCAAGCTTTAGAGCCAGAAAGGATTATGGGAACCATCTACTAGCCCTCCCCTTTTTTATAGAGGAGCGAGGCTGAAGCCCAGAGAGGTCGAGTCACCTCCCCAAGGTCCCACATCTCGTTAAAGAGAAGAGCTGGGATCTGAATCGTGTCTCCTAATTCAGAGCTAGGGCTTTTCCCTCTTCCTCCCAGTGGCTTCCTTCCGGCGCCGACATTCTGTGATCTGAAGGCTTTGCAGGGGCTCATGAGGCTCGTTCATCACAAGGCCTATTCACCAGCCCCTGTGCTTGCCTCCAAGACTTTGTAACGCCGATGCAGCTCGCTCTTTCACAGCCTTCCTGTCTCTGGCTGCCTTTGCAGTTGGGGGACTTAAAAGAGGCTGTCACAAAAGAGGTCAGGCAGGCCAGCTAGGCACAAAGCAGCAGCCCTCTATTACAGCATGCTCTAACTCACACAAGGAAGGCCTGGGGCCTAACATGAGACAGCCGGGCCGGGAATAGGGCCAATCGAGGAGAGCACCAGGGAGGCAGCCAAAACCTTGGGTCTGATGGTTTTTGGGCCAGAGAGTGAGCAGGCAAGGACAGAACATGGGCTCAGAGAGTCAGAGCTCAAAGGTTCCTCAGACGCCATTGAGTCTAACCCCTCTAGTTTTGCGAAGGCCCACAGAGGGGAAATTCTTCGTCCAACATCGCACTTGAACCTAAGTATGCAGACTCCAAATCCCCCCCAACTCTGGTCTTGTGGAGTCTGCCCTTAGACTTAGAATACCCAGTTCTCCATCACTCATCCTATCTGTGTGGGGTAGGGATGGGCTCCCGACATCTGCACAATGGGGCAGCTCAGCCCTTCAATAAGGGGGGAGGGGGAGATTCTCACACAGGTGCATCTGATAGCAGTCTCCTTTCTGGTGTTACAGCAAGGAGGTAGCGGAGACAGGCCACCAAGGTCCCAACCTCAGAAAATGGAGACAGTGGTTAGGCATGAGTTGAGGCTCAAACAAACAACTTCAATCCAGAGAGATGCTTGACACAGTCCCCTCTCTGTGCTCAGCGCACGTCAACCTCCTCCTTTCTTGTTTGTCAATAAACCCAGGTTTATTTTTCAAAGAAGTCTATAGTAAGTCCTTACTATGTGCAAAGTCCTTTGTTAAGTACTGAGGATATGAAGACAAAAAACCGAAATATGGTCCAGGGCCTCAAGGAACTTACCTACAGACAGCTGGGTGGCATAAGGCAGAGTGTGTTGAACTGGGAGGCAGGAAGACCTAAGTTCAAATCCTGTCTGAGGTGCTCAATAGCTGTGCAAGTCACCTTGGGCAAGTCACTTCACTTCTCAATTTCCTCATCTGTTAAATAATAATAATATTGTAATAATAATAATAATAATAATAATAATAATAATAATGATAGTACCTACCCCATAGGGTTGTTGTGAGGACTAAAAGAAAAAAAATATGGGTAAAGTGCTAGGAAAATGTTAGCCATTATTATTATTATTATTATTGCATTATAGTGAAAGATAGACAAGTAAGTACAAGATAGTCTGAGGAAGCAGAAAGCATTAACAAACAAAGGTTTAAATGAAGGCTTCATGGAGGGAACAGACACTAAGCTGAGTTTGCAGGGACCTAGGGATTCGAAGAGGCTCAGGCGAGGCAGAGCCGGGGGAGCCAGTGTGAAGGTATGGGGTGAGAAGGTGGCAGAGAAGACATAGAGTGCCTGGTTTGGAGAACAGTGAGAAGGCCCACATGGCTGTAATGTCGAGTAGGGACAGGGGGGAAATGGGAAATAAATTGGGAAGGGCAGGCTAGAGGCAGATCTCAATGCCAGGATGAAAAGACTATATTTTATCCTAAAAGCAACAGGGAGTCATGTGGAAAGCTTTTGAGTAAGGAAGTGACATCATGGGCAGATGTGCCTTCAGATGCTTCTTTTTGAGAAATGTGTTGAGGATAGATTAGAGAGGGGAGATACAGGAAGCAGGAAAAGGATTGTGATGATATGAGTGATAAGCAATGAAGATCAGATCCAAGAACTAGAGGGCGGGCTGCGTGAGTGAAAAGGAGACAGATGGGAGAGATGTGGGGGGGAAATACTTGACCCCACTTGACATTTGGTTGGATGCGGAACAGAGTGACAGAGACAGAAGAAGCAAGGAAAACTTAGAGGTTATCCTCAGGGTTCCTGGAAAGATAATGATACCCTGGACAGAAACAAGGAAGTTAGGAAGAAGGGAGAAGATAATGAGGTCTGCTCCACATGTCTATGGGACACCCATATGTAAAGATCTAATGGGCTGTTGGGGATGCAGGATTGGAGGTCAGGAGAGCCGAGGGCTGAGTATATAGATCTGTGAGGCATGGGATCATAGATGTCGAGCTGGAAGTTGTCATTTTACAGATGAGGAAACTGAGACCCAGAGAAGTTAAGTACTTGGCCAAGGTCTCACATGGAGTACATGGAAGATGTGGGATTTGAACCCTGGACCCTAGACTACAAGTCTATTGGGTTTTAACTGCTGCCATTTGGACAATGGTGATAACTAAAGTATGGGAGCTGCTGAGATTGCCAAGAGAGAGCCTTTAGAGAGAGGAAAGGGCCCAGCACAGAGCCTGGGGTGGGGGGTCACCCATGATAATGGAGCATGAACCGGATGACGGCCCAGCGAAAGAGACTGTTTCTTCCCCCCTCCGGCTGGTGGCCCTCAGAAAGAGGCCTGGGCTTTTGGCCTTTTTGATCTTTCTCTTCTCTTCCAGGGGCAATGAGTGGAGGAATCTCAGTTCTGGCCCAGGATTGTGAGCCGCACACAGGCATCTGGGAATCCAGGAATCCAGGCTGGGGGTTGTGGGCAGCCCAGTAGCAGCCCTGAGGAGCATGAGTCTGGGGATGCGACCCCAGCCGGGCTTCGGGCTTGAACTTTATGGAGGGACTGAGGCTATGCAGGAACTGATCTAAATCGTGAGCCCTGGTCAGTGCCCCCAGCCCTTCCCCAGACAGCTGGCATGGCATGGGGATGGGGAGGGAGAGGATTATGCCTCGGAAGCATTGGGAGAAACGTTTGCATGTTTGTTCTTGTTACGTATTTCTGTGTATGTCCACTCATAAAAGCTAATCTGATACAGAGTGGTTAAATGAAACTGGGGTGCTAGTCCTGTGCCCCTAAAATTGGGGGAACACAATTGGTTTGAGCCAAGGGAGATAGCTAGGCTTCCTAAACTCCTCAGGGTTCTAGAGGACCCTGTGGGAAGGGAGATAAGATGTAACAGGCCTGAGAGAGTAAGACCAGAGCATTCACTTTACACAGAGACAAAAACTGAGGTGGTCCCTGCCCTCAGGGAGCTTACATTGACCAGGGGGATTATCAAATACAAAATAACAGTCCAAAGGGTGGGTGCGGATCTAATGTGATCTAAGGGTAGTTTGTTTATAACAGAAAAAGGTTCTAGCGGGCACAGGGAAGGGTAGGGTAGAGTGGGATAGGGACACCAGATGGGGATGACCTGCATAGGTGGGTGGGTGGATAGAACAGGAGTGAGAGAGTATTGGCCTAGGCAGAGGTTCTCAGTGGAACCATAGTCAGCCTATTGCCAGGCCCTTCACACTTCCTGAGAAGGAGGTGGAGAGGTGGGGGAGGGGAAGGAAGCAGAGAAGGGGGGGAGGAGGACAGAGAGCAATTCCTGAAGCTGAGGAATCTGCATGCTCTTTGGGAGGAGGGGGCAGCTGTCAGGGTCAAGAGCTGAAGGAGGATCAAGGAAGATGGCACTAAGAAAAGAGCCCCTGTCTCTTGCAATCTAGAGATCACTGGTAACTCTGGAGAGAGCTGTGGGGGCAGAGGCAGAAGGAAGACTAGAGGGGCTGAGAAGTGAGGGGGGGCCTAGGAGAGGAGGCCACACGTAATGGAAGCT